GTGTGGGGGTGTGTTCTTGGAGTCCTTGTGATAATAGACACACACGCACACGTATACAATAAATATAAATGGGGGCTCGGTGGGTGCGAGTGGCAGTGCGAGTCTGCTGGTCTTAACCTGCGGAAGAATGCGAAACAAGACACAAAAAGCGTTGTGCCACTGCGGGGCAAGCAGTCGCGACGCAAAAAATAAAGCAACAAAAACAACAAAAGGAATTGGCAAAAAATATGTTTTAAACATTTTTCTCCGCTTTACATTTTTTTTTTTTTTTTTGTGAGTCCTCTCCGTTACCGGCCCTTTCCGGTCCCCTTTAGCATTTTGTCGTTGTTCTGTTTTTGTAAATTTTTGATTTGTTATTGTTGCACGTGTTGTCTTTTGCCTTTGTTATGACAATCCATCCTTGGCGGATCCTGCGAAGCAGGTGGCACGGATCCGGAGAAAGTACGTATTTACGTACGTATGTATGTGCCATCCGGAGCATAAATGTTTTTAACGAACTCACCTGTGGGGCATACGCATAAGTAGCGGAACGTCTTCTTCACGTCACCTGTGTAAATGGAAAGCTGTGCGCTCGAAAAATATGTTGGCAAAACAACAGCGGAACCCGCGATGGCCAAAAGGCCCCAGGGAAATAAGAAAACAGCCATTTTCAAAGATCATAAAGTAAAAGGAATCATTTTGTTCAAGCATCAGGGCGCCTGAACTTTATAACTGTTTTCAGATTTTGAAAAAAATATGAAAAAAATAATGATATAAGGTAAGATGAATGTAGTTTATAACAGTTTTAGATTTAGGAAATAAATAAAAATTATAATAATGTAGACTAAATTCCCGAGATCTGAAAATAATATAAAAGGACCTTCCAATTTACCAAAAATCAAAAAACTCGTTTCACATGTTTTTTTTATTTTTACAAAATTTTTTTGTTTGTTTTTATTTGTTTTCTTTCAATATATTTATGTATACATAATATAATTTTTGTTGTTTATTCGGTATATTTACTTATTTCATCATTTCTATGTTGCAGTTGTTCTTGGTTTTTTTTTCCACATGGCCGTCTCTGGTTTGTTATTACACGTTTGTTTTTTGTGTTATTTATTTTATTTACCTTTTTTGTTTTGCTGTCTCCTAAGTATAATTTCTCTATGCGTTTGCAGCCCAGCATCTAGCCAACTAACCCATCTCCTTCTTATTGTGGCGACCGCTTCTCTGAGACCGTCTCAGCTAGCCTCTTGCCCCTGCTGCTTGCATCCTGCTGCTGCTGGCTTACTATCGATGTCCTTTGGCGCGTTGGTATACAAAAACGCAGCCAAATTCCCATCTCTTTTGTTTTATTTTTTTTTGTTTTTCAACTATAAATATTTTTCATTTTGCATTTTTTGTTATGCTTAATTTGATTAACTTTTTTAATATTCGTTACGTTGTTTCACTTGTGTTTTCTTATGCAAATGCCGTTTTGTATGTTTTTCTTTGTGTGTATGAGTGTGTGGTTCTAATGCCGTATTTATATTGTATATATATCTATGTATATATATATATTTTATTTCTGTTTTGTGTATATTTAATACTTAGCTTATGCATTAGGTTTCCAATTTTCGGCTTTGTTCTGACTGTTACTGTTGTTGGTTGTTTGTTTGTGTTTTTGTTGCTCGGCCCTTATATTCCGCTACAATGTTTTCGATTTTTTCATTCTGTTTGCTTTTCGCTTTGTGTTTTCTAGTCCTTGTCCTAAAACACACTCAAACATGCTTAAATTTCTACAAAATATTTGCAATACTGCAGTCGATATCTATACTTTGTTTACTTTAGTTATTTGCTATTTACTTATCATATTTTACGTCTGTATATATATATGTGTGTGTGTATATATATATATTCATATATATATATATGGTTCGTATAATATCGATATCTGTATATGCATTATGTGAGTGTGACTGTGTTCGTGTCCGTTTGTAGTGTCCTTGTGTCGAATGCCTTCCAAAACTTTTCTGGTTTTGCCTTTGTTTATCTTTTGATGTTTGTTTTGTTAGCAGCTTTTGGTTGTTTGCTCATCGTTTGATTTTTTCTACATTTGCATTTGATTTGTTTACTATATTAGTGTAATTTTAATTGCATAACATGCCCTCGATCCTTCCATCCATCTGGTTTATTGCACATAAATATTTTGCTTTTCGGCCTGTTTCCTAGCCTGTACGGATTTCAAATAGAATTTCGAATTAGCCTGGCTTTAAAATTTGGTTCCAACTGTTTTTAGTGGCTAGTGCTTCCTGTAAATAAAATCCTTTTTTTTTGTGATTTTTATATTTTTTTTTTCGGTTTGGAACACTTAGAACTCAGTTAAGTAGTATGCACTGCCATGTAATTTAAAGGATCTGCCTGCATGTAAATATATACGTATAGAATATATATTCTGTGTAATTGTTTTGTAGCTTAGATAATACTTTTATTTGATTGATTTTCGGTTTTTCTCTGCCGCAAGTTGATCTCGTTAAAATTTGTTTTCTGCTCGTTTAGTTTAATTTATGCTAAGTGCCTCCACTCCATCTCCACCACCTCCTCTAGCTCCTTTTTTGCATTGCATGTGGTAAAATTTTGCTAACTGCTCCTGTTTCAGCATTTCAGTAATTACACTTTGAATTGACTAATTGGTAATTGTAGTTTATGGTTAATAACTGCAATCATTTTAGTGTGTAGTTTGCTTTGCTTTTGCTTTGAACTTGAACCAAATTAGTAACTCAAAGTGATTGCCACGGAATTCGATTACACCTGACTAATTGTTGAAATTAACTTTTTGCGATTGGAAATAATAATATTAATTTTTTGGCAATAAAGTGCTTTCCCTTCTGTAGCTACAAAGTTTTTGCATCAGGTTTTAAACTTGATCGTGGGACAGAATCCTGCTGCCAGGACTATTCTTCCATGTTTTGCGGTATATGTGACGTGGGCCTTCTTGTGTATAAATACTTTGTATATGTTCATATATATATATATATATAGACGTATATAAATGACTTAGCACATTTTGTAGTTACACAACATAAATACATACAGTTACAGCTGTTATCCATATAAATATTTTATTTGTTTGTATATTATTTAGTTCGTCGTCTTTGTCAGCTTGTTAGATCATATTACGTTCCACAGTTAATGCTTATTTAGTTTCCAACTCTTCACTATTTCTACGTGCCAACTACCCATTTTAACTCTTTACTGATATGTAGCGCAAACATTAACAAACAAACCGATAATATTCTATTTTTTTAGTTTTTTCGTCTTAACTATAAACTGGTTTCTCTTATAAAGGGTTTTCTCATCTTCGATTTCCTAGCCAAATATTTGTTTTCGTTTTCTGCAAAACTGTTTTTATATTAGTTTATTTTTCGTTTGGTCAACAACATTCAATTTTTTGCTTTCGCTTTTCTTTTTTTTATGCCTAACACAATGTCTAGAACGTAAAATAACAGAACCAAAATGCATTTGTCAGCTTCATGATCCTTTACCGCTTGTCCGATCGTTGGCCGATCCTTTCCCGCCCACTTTTTAAAATCACATCTACATCTAAGTCGCTTGCACGCAATGCTTCTCGTAGTTCCTCTAAGTTCTAGTGCTAAAAACATTTAAATATACAGTACGTCTGCCCTAATGACTACGGGTACGTGTCACTATAATTCGTATTCGTATCTGTGTCGTGGCTAAAATACTTCCGCTCTCACCTCTTCTAATCAATCTTGCCAGTTAACACAAGCATTATGTGTCCTGGAGTATCTCGTGTGTGTCTGTTTATGCTTTTTTTTTTGTCGATTATCGATAGACATTTACTCGAGCTATATGGGACCACACCCAAGTAACTAAATGCGCTGCTCCGATAGCTGCGAAAAAATTCCACTAAAAAATGACATAACAAATTCCACGCTGGCTGCCGCCGGGGGATGGGGCGTGTCAAATGCAAATCAAGCCTCGTCCTGGCTCGTCCTTATACCTCTCAGCCTCCTGCTCGTCCTACATTTTTTTGTTTATTTTTTTTTTTATAGCTAAACTGTCCGATACGTACGAATATGTTTCGCACGATTGCGATTCAGATTGCGATTGCGATTACGTTGCTTTTACGTATGCGTATTGCTATTTCTATTACTTGGGATTTTTATTTGTTGTTGTCATCGTTTTAATTGGTTTTCATTTTGAACATATATTTGTGATTTATCACACAACACAACATATATATGTACGTACAACACAAGATACAATAAATATAATTTACCATACGTTGCTCGCATTTAGTTTTTAGTTGGTATGCGTGTGTGATTATGAGTTGTGTGAGTGTCACTCTATCCGTATATATATCCTTATGTGTATGTTATATAAGCATGTTGGTTTAATGCATTTGCTGTATACGCCACGAACTTATCAACCATGTCTATTTCTATACTTTATTTACCACTTTACATTTATTTATATATATATATATACTCTACACTTTTAGTTGTATGTTTATACCTTCTATTACTATTTTTATGTTTCACATCCATGTACTGCGGGGATAGCTCTGCAATGCTCTGCAATCCGAAACTCTGCCTGCTGTGTGTGTTCGCAGGAGTCCTAGAGTCCTGCGAGTATGAGTGTGTTGATTAATGCTTGCTAGTGTAAGTCTGTGGGAGTGAGGGCTCTCATAATTTGTTATCTGGCTGGTTACCGGCTCCTGGCCTGCTCTCTGTTGCAAGTGTGTTTATTGGCTTATATGATTAGGCGATAATATCTACTCTATTACGGCTATGCTCCATTAGCTAATATCAATTAATATCATTCGATGGCATACTTTGATTGTTTTCAATATATATTTTTTACTTGCGTTTGGGGAGTTCTCCTCTCTCTATTTTACCAAATATTTCATTAATATATTCTTAGATACTTGGATATTTTTGTGTTTATTTATCGGTTCGGTACGGTTCGGTTTTGGTTTGGTTTGGTTTCTGTTATTTTTGTATTGGGTCTCCTTTTCGCTTTTAGTTTGGATTGTGATTTCGTTTTCGTTTTGGCCTAAACAACAGAGAACTAACACAACAAATTTGCAGCTAACCATTCCTCTTCTGGCAACTGAAATAAAACCATAAACGTATCATATATACATAGCTTAGTACAAGAGGAGTGTGTGTTGGTAAATTGTTTTGGAGGGAGTTGAAACATTTTTGCGGCTTTCGTGTCGGGTTTAGCTGCTTTGTACATGGCTCTCATGAGGCTTGTTGAAAGTGAAGCGAAAAACTTAAATCGTAATCAAATTAGACTCAAATTTCAAACAAATTAAAGGCTCAGCTCTGCAGCTGCTGCTAATTGCGAAGCCCCTTCGAAAAGGATGGTTGCATATGGATGGAGAGAGAGAGTGAGAGAGAGGGCTCGAGGGTCCTGGATTCGGATTCGTACTTCATAGTGTTTTGATGTGCGTGTGTAGGAACCTGTCTTTCAATTGCTGATCGATCACAAATCAAAGTAGTGTGAGTGCGTAAACTTTCAGTTGCATTCTATATAGGAAGTGATAGCAGGACATGAACTGCTTCTGGCCCGATTTGGCAGTTGTCTGTATTTTCTTTAACGTGTGTGATTTGTAGTATCCTTTAAAATATCCACGACATCTATCATAGTTATAGGCACTAGTGCTATGTGTGTATGTGTGTTTTTGGTGTAGAGTGTGTGAGTGCGCCAAGCTAGAACCAAACTGCGCGCAAAAGTAGGCAATACAAAATGATGCGGGTCCTGCTGTTGAAGGGAAATGGCAGAGCGGGTGGGGGGCAAGGACGAATATTTGTATACACACATACAAATATTTACTTGCACGCGTCTGCATGTGTGTGTTCGCGTAATTAATTTTAACGCATTTTTAATTATGTTTATTTTAATTTAATGCCGCCACTCTGGAAATACATGAGGATGTGGGTGTGAGATGCATATGAATATGAGTCTGTGCGTTTAATTTCGGCCGCCACTCGATTTATGTCTTTCCCTCGACCAAGTTGTATGCCCCTATTTTATTTATAAGCACAGTTTTTGCATGTACCTCTCTTTTTTCTTGCTTCAATTAATTATTGTTATTATTATTTTTTATACGCGCCGTGCTCCAACACATTTACATTAAGCATTAAAATATTTCGGTTTCGGTGTTGGTGTGTGTGGGTGTGGGTGTGTTTTGGTGTATGTATGTGTTGTGGTGTAAGCAACTAGGGTTAAAAATATTTTAGCTTTCTTTGCTTTTGCATATACATAATAATTGTTTGCTTTGGCTTCAGCTCCCCCCAATGCTCGACAGATATTTATGCTCTAGTCATACATATATGTTTTATATATATAATTAGTATGTATATATTCATGTGGGTGTGTGTGTGAACTCGTGTAATTTTCATTTAGCTTTGGTTTTGGTTTAGGTTTAGGTTAAGGTTTAGGTTTTGCATTCGCTTATGCTTTTGCTCTTGCTTTTGTTTCTGGGGTGCAGCTCTCTAAAATCGCCAAACTTCGAGTTGCCATCAATTGTTTTGCAATTTGTGTTCTGCGCTTCGCATTTTATTTACAGCTCAGTTTGGTTTTGTTTCTGTTCAGAAAATTGCAGCTGTACTTGAAAAATTTTGTTTGGATTTCGGTTTTTGGCTTTTTTCGTTTACTGTGCCTGCAAAAGTAAAGGATAAACCTTAAAAAATAATATGGGTGTTAGTAAAAATTGGAAAAAAGTAGTAGACGGAATAAAAGTAATTGTAATGCAGGAAAAAGTGTTTGCACGAGTGCAGGGTTTTTTGTACTTTTGTCAACACATATTTCAAATGCAATACATAATTCTATTGGCTTAATGTACCATCCAGAGAGCTTTGAATCGTGTGTGTGTAAGAGTACGAGATTAACAAATAAAACGAGCAAACAAATTGGCTGATATTTTACAGACTAAAAACATTGAGCACTCAGCGATACAGCTATTTCTCCATAAGGTTTTGAATTTATTATTAAGCCGTACATGCAAAAAGTAATTCTTTTAATGGCAAACAAAAATGTACATTTTAGATGAAGATAAAAAATAAATGAATTGTTCATGCTTTCATTATTGTTTGTTTTTCCAGTCCAACAGTGTTCATATTTTATTTGCTAGCCCCCTTCCTTAAAATACTATTCAATCAAAAACATGCATGCATATGGGCGCTTTACAACCGCCTCTATCCACATTCGATATTCAAATGCAAAAGAATAACATTATCAAGCAAAGGCATTCGAACGGCGCTGGAATATTTTGAAAGCGGCCAAAAATACGAGAATTACAGATACCATGGCACTCAGGTGCCAGGTAAACAACCAATCGCACACACTAACGAACCGAAATCGAGAAGAGTGTAAAATAATCCAAAATACATTCAAAACTTCCAACAAACGGAGGGAGATGCACGAAAAATGTTTCAATATAGCGGGCAGCGTTCATGAGTGTATCTGTGTTTGCATCTGCATTTGCATCTGTATGGGTATCTGTATCTGTATCTGAGTGTCGGAGTCTGGACTGCATACCTGTGGGCTCACTTGGAACTGCTGTATCGGATAGGCGACCACACCGGCGGTCTGCGGAATGGCGGTCCCGGCCACGCCCGTTGCCAGTTGCTGGGCAGGAGAGATCTGTGCCTGGGTGACGCCTTGCCAGGTGGCAGGAATCTGTACGCCCATGCTGGAAATAAAATCGAACATATCCACACATAAGAACACAGCAAGAAATTGCATTATAAATGATTAATAATTTTTTTTAAATAAATCTTTTTATTAACTTAACTTTTTCTATTATATTTATAAGATTTTTCGGAGAAACTAAAAGAAACCTAATTTAATATGATTTTTTTAATGTCATAATTTTTTCTGAGTAAGTTATTTTATATGCCCAGATTTCCAAAAACCCTCTACCAAACAGTGTTGCATTCCACAATCGTTGAATGCTGGAGGGGAAGGACAAACGGATTCAGAATGCCCAAAGAGCAATGAGTGAGGAAGCGGAAAACAAAATTTACGCGACTGCGTTGCAAATATCACGTTATGTTGACAGGCCGACGGATCCGGAAATGTATTTCATACGGCCGCAGAAGGACGACGGTGCAAATGAAAAACTTTTGCAATTAGCAAATGAATTCACCCATCCGTCATGCTGTCGTTGGCACTGCCATTGTTTTCTGTTTGTTTTTTTGCCGATCCCCAGCGGCGGTTCAGCCATCGGAAAAAGTACACAAGAAGTTTTTTAGAGGACCTTTCGTCTGCTGCACATTTGCCTTTGAGCCAAATCACCTAATAAAATTAAGCCAATCCCCCACAACCCACTCTTGACCCAACTCACCCCATGTAGCCCTGCTGGTATCCGGCGTACTGGCTAAAGTGGTATCCCTGGATGCCCTGCAGGAACTGATTCTGCACGGCAGCTGCATTGGCTGCCGCCGGGGTCACAGCAGCCGCCGTGGCCGAGGAGGCCGGGTAGGTGGGCGTGGGCGAGTACCAGCATCCCGTGGCGGCCAGCTGCTGACCATAGGCGGCTGCGGCAGCGGCGGCGCCAACTCCATACGGGAATCCTGCAGCGGCGGCGGCGGCCGAGTTGAGTGCCTGGGTGGCGATGGTCTGGGCGTTATTGGGATCGCCGCTCTCCTTGCCCCAGGAGCACTTTACGGGCTGGGCGTTTATTTCCGTGTTGTGGACACCGACAATGGCATGGGTGGCTGCCTCCTTGGTGGAGAAGCTACAAAAAAAAAATAATTAAAAGAAAAAATATTAGTATATATTTTATATTTATGTTAATGTTAAGAAATATATTATGAAGAAAGGCATAATCACTTACCGCACAAAGGCATAGCCCTTATCCTTGAAGACTCGAATCTCCTGTATCGCTCCATAGGGGGCGAATGTCTTCTGGAGCACCTCCTCGCTGAGGGCTGTGAGGGCGCTATTGACTCCGCCCACATAAACGGTGCAATTGGAGGGACTGCTCTGATTGTAGACCTCGTCGAAGGTCAATGGCTTGATGTTCTCTGCGGGAGAAAAAAAAATTGTATGAGAAAACCAAATGTTTCACAGTCATTTGATGGATTTCATTTTAATGTTGCCGCCTGGAACGACCTGTTATGGGTGGCAGTTTTTTGTGTGTGTCCCCGTTTTTATTCACCAACTGCATGATTAATATGCAAATTAATTAACGGATTTACCCGCAACAACGCCAGCCCCGAGAGCTGCCTGACTGGGCCTCGGCAACGTTTTGGTAATTAAAATAACCGCATGCACTTAGTCAATATGCTTGTGTGTGTGCGGTTCCTATATGTGTGCGCTTCACACACACGTACGGTCCTGCCATGCCATATAGGGGGGAGGGCGTGCTCTAGGGGGTGGCAACACCATTTACCGTTGATTTCTTGTTGTTGCAGTTGAATATTTAAAATTGTTGCGGTTGTTATTGCATTTTTTATTATACGTATTTGGTGGATATACATATTTCGTATGCTTGTATGCCGTTTTATTGTCGCTGTGCTTTTTGCGCTCACTGTACAATATACACACACTTTATTTAACCGCTTCCACCCCACAGTGTCGTTGTCGTTGCTAGTCCTGATTGTTGTTGCTGTTGCTGTTGCTGCTGCTGCTGTCGTTACGTATACGACATGTATGCACGTATTTGTATGCAAAGTTACACTAATTACTTCCTTTGAGGTTAAAACTAAATTTGCACTTTTAAAAATAATGTCGGCTTTGCGTGTTTATGTCTTTGTTTAGCTCAGAAACATTTCCACGCATTGTTCGGTTTTCGGGCATAAATGGCGACTATGGACTATAACCCATAATGACCAGCACTCGGTAGCATAGATCGATGGTTGATTTGCCTATCTAAAGGACCCGCCCGCAATTGCAGAAGGCTACTTAACATGGCCCGTTAATGGCGCTACTCAGTCCCCTTGCGCCCCCAGCATGCCATCAAAATGCCATTGCAGGATGTCTAGATTTGTGTGGGGCTGTTTTTTGTTTTGCCTGCGCAGCGAACATGCCAAAGAAAACACAAAAATATGGCTCAATGACATGCAACAGGATTACTGTACACAGCTGCTGCACCCCCTACCCCCACAACAAGGACTCGCACACACACACACAATCGTACTGGAAATGAAATCACTCATACACACGCATTTGGGAAGGAACAACAATCAAAGCTCCGTGGCAAGGGTGCACCGAAAACACGAAAAACTAACAAGCTCGCAAATACTTTTGAAAGCTTTTGCCACAAATGTATGCGCTTCGGCCACGCACACTCACACACGTACTAAGAGGTCCTGGCATTCACGAACACACACTCCAGCGCAGAACGAACCCAGCGTTGCATACTTTCGAGCGCCATGTTTCACTAATTTTCACATTGCTCTGTTCCTGAGCTTGTGTGCGGTACCTTCAGCCCTCCTCGTATTATTATTTCCACTTTTTGTTTTCTCTAATTTCTTTTTTACGCTTTTAAATACGTGTAATTAAATTTTGAAAATGCAACCAAACGAGGACCTGCTCTCATATTCCAACTTGCTTAGCCTTGAGGCCTGGTTAACTTGGCCGGCTTGGTTTCATGTCCGCGGCAAATTAAAGCCCGCGATGCCGTTAAACTGCAATTGTGTGAGTGGCGGGAGCGTGGCCATAATTATCGCACATTTTTGTCTACGACAAGCCCCGGCGATTGCATTCCGGTTCCATTCCCGGCTGGTTCCATTCCGGTTCCGTTCTCGGGGGGCAGACACACATAATTGGAGTCTGGTCAGCCCGAGGGCCATTTCATTATGGGGGCAAATACTTTCGACCGGCAGGTGCTCTGCTCTCGTTTTGGCCGACGACGATTTGAAATTTTAATGAGCAATTATAGGCATGTAAAACTAAATCATGAAATAATCACCGAATCATTAACATAAATAATTCACATTTTTACACGCAGCGACGCCAATCGCCTGGTGAACAACACGAGCCTCGAGGACGTAGCCAGGCACTTGAGGAAATTTAAAAGTAATTAATATGCATGGAAATGCTCCTTCAGGAGGGGCGGGTTTTCGGGCATGGACGTGGTCATGTGCTAATTTTGAAAAAAATAAAAAAGCTGCGTTCTCTATTGCCAAAGTCCAGTCGAAACTAAAGCAGGTGGTGTGGTATGGAAACTTAGAGGTAAGTCACTCCACTCTTGCATTTGCCACAAAACTCACTGAGGCATTTAAACTTTTGCTTAATTGTGCGCAACTCTGCATAAAATCTTGATTTATTGCGTCAACCAGGTAACGAGGCCATGCAACTCCGACTTCCGAAAATATTTTCTTGCGAGCTCGCCCACAAGTCAGCACTTCCAAGTCAAAAGTCAAATAGTTTGGCCAAAGAAATTTGTCATACAACAGCGTTGTCTTTGTGTGCTGTTTTTGTCGTCGCCATCGTCGTCGTTGGCATATTGTTTCTGGTTAATTAAGTTATTACCATAATGAGCTCACAGGTATTTGCGGCCTTATTTATGGGCATGCATTGAAATAGACCAGAGTGGCTCGACAAAGGTAGTCGAACTTTGAAGGAACTTTGGCCACGGTTGCTTTCCCTTTCGGAGGGATAATAAAAAAAGGGGCCGCGCCAAATGCGTTTGTTATAAAGCCTCCCATACCGCCCCCTTCAAAAAAAGGGGAAAACTTTTAGCCGGGCACGAAATTGCAAAGCGTCGCCAAAATTGTCACAACTGTAAAATGCGCAATTGCGCCGGATCGTAAATCTTTCGCAACAATAGCGGACGGGGCTCACACACAGAGACACATGAGTGGCTCACTAAACGCGGACGGACATAAAATGTGCAGCCTGCTTAAAACATAAAAATGCCGGGCCAACTCAGTTGGATTGCCAAAAGAATCGAGCAAAGTGGCTGCGTAAAACATGAAGTAATGCGAATGCCAAATGCGAAATGAGTTGAGTGCTACAAATCGTAAAGTTGGCCAGCAGTCGCAGCAGCAGCAACAACTAGGCTGGCCGTAAAACCCGGGACCTACCCCTTTTGGTCCTTTTAGTGCCCCTCCGATTCCTATATCGTGCATATGTGAGCGGGATATAAAAACCCTTTAGCCAACAGCCCTTCAGGGCACATCGTCGCTCCCCTTCTGGTCGATTTCTTTTCTGCTGATTCAGCCCTCGAAGCGATCAAAAAATCAAAATTATTTCGCTGTCAAATTGCTAATAATAACTTGTATTACAGGATCCCCAACTACCGCCCGGTAATTTGGCTCGGCTCCCGAAACCAAATAGAATAGAGCAGACAAAACCGTGACATAGTCAAATAAACAATGCGACCAATAAAAATACGCTTAAGCTTTCATAGGCGTTTTTTATGACAACAATATAAATGCAAAGGGAAAATATTACATACATACATATTCACATATATTCCGTTCCCACTACCCGGAATGCGAAAGGAACCCTTCAACAATTTTCGGGCCTCTGCACGATAAATTCCACCTTGACTCCAGCTAGTTTTCCACTTTTCCGAGTGTTTGTCTGTGCGGGCCTTAAAGAATGCCAAATGTTTCTTGTATAACCATGAAAATTTACCCCATTTGTATTATGCGAGTGTGTCAGGGGGTGTGTGTTTGCCTTTTATGATAATAGTTTCGTGTTGGCAAAATTTATTTATCTGATTTTCCCGCTCCTCCAAGCTGCTAGCTCTATGCTACCCATCGATGCCACCACCCTCAGCCACACTCGCTGTCTAACAAATAAAAATTATGTTAAAACATGCAAATATGCGTTAAGTTTTGATTTATGAAAGACAAACGACGAGCGGGAAACCCCGCGCATGTTTGTCCGCTGTTAATAATGATTACGCCCGGCTCTAAGTATATAGTTACGGTTACGGCCGGATATCTATGCGGTTGACAAGGAGCCATGGCCATAAATCGACGGCAACAGGGGCGTGGCCCGGGGACTAAATGAAAATTGATTTGCCGGGGCCTAATTGAATGCCTCTAGATGGTTTTTATATTTTTGGGTCGACGGCGCTCTGCAGCCGACGACTAATTGAAAAAGTTTAAACCAAATTGGGTACAGCCCATTACGGAAATTAGGCGCGTGCGGTTAAGAAAGGACAAATATTAAGAAAACATAATCTGGCAGAAAATTTGTGCGACGTTTATAAATAGCAAGCGGTTTCCCGGCTCCACCATCCACCACCTACTATACAACCCACCATAAACTTCCTCCCTTCGCAGACTCACATTCGACCCTGGCATTGTGCCTGTGTCAGGCTACCTTTGGCATTCATTGCCATAATTTCCTGTAATAAGAACGACGCGCCTGCTGCCAGCAAAAGCAACAGCAGCAGCAACAACAGTAAGAGTTCAAGTCCGGAGCTGGAACTCCGGAGTGTACGCACACCGGAAACTCAGCTGGCCTGCCGGCTGGGGTGACACTCATGATTTCCTTACCTTTACTCGCCGGCGGTTTCCGTGTGGCCCAATTCGTGCGAATTGAACGGGAGCCAAGCCACTGGCCATTCATGGCCGTAATGGCGCTCTCGGCTTCCTGCGGGGCGATAATGAAGACAGAGACACAGTCAGGACCAGAATTGGAAAAAATATACACACAGAGAGAATTAATAATGTGGATTACATGTTTTTAACAAAAAATACTTATATATAGACTGGGGAAGTGAAAACCAAAACCAGAGTTAAAACCAATAACAGAAAATTTAAAAAAAACCTAAAAATTATTCCAATTTTAAAAATCTTTTCGCTCCGTGTTAAATTGAAATCAGAACAAGAGCCTGCGCACGACTGCATAAATATGCACTTAAATATGCTAATGCCAGTGGCAGTACTTACCGATTTCTTGATGAAGGACACAAAACCATAGCCCTTCGACTTCAAGGTTTGTGGATCGCGAACCACGCGACAGTCGCTGCAAAGAGAAAAACAAAATAAATATATTTAAGCAACAAAAGCACGAAACGTAAACATTAAAGTTGTGCAACTGTAGTCCTCTTAGGACTTGAATTATTCTGCGGCCACCCCCGCTCCGAACGGAAGTGCTGGGAAACTTTAAAATTTATGCAAATTCTTAATAAAGACATCTCCCGGGGACGTCGTCTTCAGCTCGGTCTGGCCGACGTGTTCAAATATTTCCGTTCGAGTACGAAATACAAATATATTTTCAATGCGTGTGTCTGACTTGGGCAGGCGTAGGCGTGGCCTCTTGTAATTCGGAAATTAGAAATCTGACCCGGTGCTGGAAAGTTTTTATTTATCTTACAGTTTGGCCAGCCGCAGAACAGGGGGAGATTTCCAGCTGAGATTGAGGGATTGGAGATGCCAAGAAGGCACGCAGCTTAAACAACTCATCGGGCTTTAAGATAAGGAGAAAGTTTTGATGGATTTTTATTCTCCGGCCACAGTGTTGATCTTCCGTGATTTCTATCCGTAATCAAACTGAAAGCCAGGCCCAGATCGAATCGAATCAAAGCGAATCACATGGAACTGTGCTACAATCATTAACGTAAAAGACTTTCTCATTTGGGGCACTTCTGCCAATTGGTAGACTTCCGACTCTGGGGCCCAAATTGATTTCCCCCAGCAGTTGTACGACTTCTCATTTGGACAATTGGGGCCTCGACACCGCACTAAACCGGACTGCCAGGAAACTTTGGCAATTACCCCCGGACCGGCAGTTTACTTTTCATTTATGAAGCATAAACCACAGCGGCGGCGAACTTGGCGACGCTGTCCAGCAACTTTTTTTTTATGATTATTATAAGTAAAATGCCGGGAGACCCGTTGGGGTTTGGGCTTCGCTCAGGCTTTGACTTTGTGTGGCAGAAGCCAGGCGACTTATTAAATATTCACACGCGCCGCGCATTTAACAAAACGAAACAAAAATGCGCCCAAAGCAGAGTCCCAAGCATAATGCCAAAACCAGGCAACAATGCCCCAAAAAAATACATATATACGAAAAAAAAGGGCAAACAACGCCAGGCACGCATAAAAGTTTTGACAGCCACCGAGAGGCAGGGTCCTGCGGGGGCAGGACATCTTGATCCCCAGGAGCCGCACGACCGAATCCTGCCGACTTTGGGGCGTTAAGCGTTTTGACATGTCGGCTGGCAGATCGACTCGCCCCACAAATAAAGTTCTTTAAGCCGGCACTGTTTTATTTTTCCCTTCTTTTTTTTTTGGTGCCTCCGTGGCTCCCACTCTCTAAAAAGATAATCAGCTGGCGACGTGGGCTCACTTTTGTCGGGATATCGGTGATAATGATGTCAGCGATAGCTATCAGCCAGGTGCCAATCGATTGGTAAATTTAATGTCGGTGGTTCTGAGATTTCAGCCGGGAATTGATCCAAAACATGGCCAGCTCATTAGCGAATCAGAGCAACCCCCTGGCCCAGTTATTAGAATGATTTTCAGATTATTAAAATTTAAATTGGCCAGCGGAAGGGCCCTGGAGATGAGCAGATTGCCTGATTGACTGGCGAAGCGGCGGGGTAAATAGGCGGCAAATCCAAAAATCAAATACTTTGACGTAATTTCTGATAAGACGCCGCGGGGCCATCTTTTTTGGAGGACCAGGACCAGGCAGAGGAGGAGGCGGCTGCTCCCAAGAGACGGACTAACATTTTGACTCAAAACTTTGCGATTAAACAGAAGTTAATTAAGCCAAGTTTTTGATGCTGTCGTTGCCAAGAGTGGGGTGGTATGAGGTTTTTTGGGCGCCTGGGACCCGAACCGGGAGCGGGAGGATAGTGACTTTGCCTTTTCATGCCGAAAAATAGCAACTTAAATATTTGAATGCCCTGGTTTTACAGACAGCGAAAAGAGTTCGGCCAAAGTGGCATTTGCATAAATTCATTTTTTTGTTGCCGCTCGGTTATGAATTTTTTATTTCCACCTCCCAACATCCACATGCCCACACGCCACACGCTCTTGCCAATAATCAGAGAATGTGTGACAGAAAAATTGTCGCACAAAAAATAACGAAAGGGGGGACGCTGTAACGAAGAAAGGCGAAATAAAAGCTGCTGAATGGGAAATGGTAAAAACGGCAATGGGCGGGGGCAGAAGGGAGGTAAAGGCAATTCCAAGTTAACTGGCAAATGGAAAATTTGCATTTTAATACTTACGAGATTTCGCCGAATGGTGTGAATGCTTCGCGCAATTGCTGAGTTTCAATTTCTGAGCTCAAGTCGCCGACAAAGATGTGGAATTGTTCTGCAAGAAAAAAGAAAGGCGAGAGGAAAGTATGAGTATTGGGGATTTTCGGAGCATTTTGGCATAAGAAGAAGGGTTGCCGCTGGCGCATCGTGAGTCGCACAAAATATGCGCCAGATAAAAAACGCAAATCAAAAGAGAATCCCAAGTCATGCGCTTTTATTTCGCAATTTATTGCCAGCGTTGAAGCTGTCGCTTTAATGCATATACACAATCACAAAAAAAAGACCCATAAGAAGGCAGAAAGGAAAAAGTTTTTCATATATCATTTTATGCTGCATAAGCAGAGATAAGTTAATTGAAATCACAAAGGAGAGTCGAGCAGATTGATGAGTTCAAAGAGCCGGGATGGGTGGATGGGTGGTTGGGTGGCTGGGTCGCTGGGTGGGAATGACAAAACTTGCCAAGTTGTCCTCAACTCGGTAGGTCGGTATTAGTTTTCAAAAACGTCGTGGAAAACTTTGCCAACTGTGCGTCTTTTGTGCTCGCCCACTCTGGCTCGTGGAGAACGTCCCCATTAATACTAATTAACCCATTCATCTAAGTAAACTTTGCACGCTCGAATCTTCAGGCCCCATCATCTAGCCAAACATCATGTACACATGCACAAACTCAAAGCCGTTCGCTGTCATGCAGGCTGCACAAACACAAGTGCAGTGGGTGATGGCACAGGCGACCCGCACACCCACCCAGCGAACCAGCCACCCAGCCACCCAGCCAACCAGCCGACCAGCCTCCTCCCGAGGTGCAGAAGCCCCACCTCATGCACTCTTACAAATTACTCATTTTTAAGCCATTAATTAAATTCCTGCATGTCCTACTGAATGATAAAAAACTATTTTCTTAAATCTGGCTTGGTTTTCTCAGTGTATGGCTCACATGCAATGCAAACACACTCACACTCGCACGAATTGCAATCATTTATTATTATTTTTGTGTGCTTTGTCTCTTTGGCACAGAAAAAAGTCGTGACTGTGCGGGGAAGCAGACAAAAGGGGGGCGCCTGGGCTAAAGCCAAGGGGGCGCAGGGAACGGAGCTTCTCGACGTTGTCCTTCGTGCGCTCTTGTGTCAGCCAGTTCGGTTTGAGCCAAGACTTGGCAAAGGCAAAGCCAGCTCAGCGACGCACGTGGGGTGGTAATGGGTTAAGGGCCAATGCAATGGGTGTATTTTTTCGGGAGCCATCCCCACCGCCTCGGTCGCCCCACTAACCTCGCAGCCAGCCCAGCAACCCCACACAAACAGTGGCAGAGAAGTCTTACCCTAAATAATTAGCACTATTCAGCTGGGGCCCACTGACGACAACGACAACGACGACGACGACAACATTCGAGGCTGACAGCGCCGATGGGCGCGGCTAAAGGGCGGGCCTGCCTCCCGCCACCCATCGCCGCCCATTACCAGCCCCCGCCGCCTTCGACCGGCGTCCTTGCCTGCTGCACGTGCAGAAATTAACATTTCCGGTAATTTTGCGAAAATGAAAAGCAAAGCGAAAAATTAACGGCAACGTCGTCGTGGTCGCAGCCAAGCAAAATGCGAAATGCGGAAAGCTTTTGTGTTAAATAAATATTAAAAGGAATTTCCCAGAGCCAGAGCCAGCGGAACTGATGGAGACATGGCAGGACAAGATGCAGGGGGGCTGGGCCTGCGCCAGGTGGGGGTGGCCAGGGGGCGGTAGTTGCTGAGCAAGTGGAAACGACCTGACTGCGGCCTGTTGGCCTTTTAAAAATACAAACCAAACGAGTAAATCTCTGCGTGTTCACGTGGACAAATACACCAGTATATATTTTATACACTGAGAAATAATATATTTTTTGCTTCCAGATTAAACATTTAATATGAGATACTGTCTAAGTCCAAGTTTTGATAAACCAATTAAATCTTTATAATGAAATAAAGTTAGTCCTTGATTCCTCTCAGTGCTTTCTGTTCGTGTGTGTATGCCCACTTTTTATTTAATTGGAAATTGCGTATACGCCACCGTTAATGAGCCCATTGTAATCCTGACTGCGAGTCCTGCGAGCCAAGTGGGGCGGCTTAGTCGTTGCAGGCGGCTCGCCTCGACTCGACTCGGCTTGGCGCCGTTATTGTAAATCAATCGTTGAGGTTCGCTCCGGCGGTTCTCAGGTTATTGCTTTCGCCCATTTGCACAGCAAAAGGCAGAAGGCAGGCACGCAACATGCCAGCCCTGAGTGTATGGGTATATCGTATCGGTAAGATACATTTCCACATACATATGTGTGAGAGACAGACAAACGAGTCAGCCACTAATTGCAGTCAAAGGCTGCTTTAAATTTGCACTGCGCCAGCACTCTCGATTGGCAGGTCGCAACCACCTACCACCTACCCCCGGGCCACGGCCCCTTCCACACTTCGGCCGCCACCTTGTTGGCGATATAACGGGATTCTTTGAACCGCCTTCGGTGTCAGCATGTCAAGTAGTGGCAGCTTTTCATTCCCTTTGCTCGTATCCGTTGTTCCATCGGCCGTGTCGGGTCGTTTGCTGATTAAAACGGTGCGTAGGTAATGAGTTAATTAAGTTTTTGCCATCGTTACAGTGGTCCTTTGTCGAAGTCGTTTCTACACACACACACACACACTATGTACACACGTGCACATAAATTAATCATAAATCCTTGCTAGCTACACGGCAGTTACAAGTGTTTTGTATATTTGCCAAGGACATGCCAGACCCCTCCTGTGTTCCTTCCTTTTCATTCCTTTCCGCTGGCGAGTGAGCTCAACGGGATCGGACCAAGTCGGCAAGGAGAAGCAACTCCTTGCCGAGAAGTGTGTCAGCAGTACCTGCCACGCCCTCTTGTACTATTTGATTAAAGACGGAAGCTACTCAAGGACTATACACGTGTCTATGAGTGTGAGAGTAAAGGTTTCACACTGCAGCACCAGCAGGATTAGCTATAATCCTAATAAGTTTTTATTAAAAGGGGTTTTAAATATATTAAATAAATAGAAGGTCATATTCACCTCAAGGCCCATTTAATCCTTGCCCTTAGACATCTTTCTTACTATTTGCTTCTCTGAGTGTATAACTATCCAGTTTTATGTCTTGGGTTACCTTGCCTTACTACGGCCATCACGCTTTTGTTGGCTTTAGTTGTTGTAAATTTTATGTTATCCGCTTTCATTGTTTGTATGCCTTTATTTATGTTCCCCACTGTCTGCCGTCTACTGCCGACTGCCGACTGTCGACTGCCTACTGCCCTACTGTCCCTGCTGTGGGTCGGTGTGTGTGAGAATTTACTGATTTTCCGTTGTTATTTGCGTTTGTGCTAAACCTTATTTCCTGTTTGTCTTACATAAGCTGCAGCGCTTAATTACACGCAACCCCATCGAGGACTCCATTTCAAGCAGGATGTTCGGTTTGATTTTCCCCCAGGGAGAAGCTTTTTGGCCGCAACCCACAGCCCACAGCTCACAGCCTTCAGCCAAGATATATGCGTGTCCCATCGATATGTGCGACCTAATGTTTTATTGACCGCGCCTGCAATCTCATTTGGCAATTCACTTTGTAGCTGCCGCTTAGCTGCGCGCATAACCGACCACACGGCGTATGCGTAATGGCAATTATGAACTCTCGCCACTGGGCGCTAAGTGGGAAGTGCAGTGCATTAAAGCCAAAAGCGTTTAGCTGGCGGTCGCAAAACCACGGCCCAACCAGATCACCATCTGACCGACTGACTGCCCGCTGTGACAGGGAAAGCCCCAAACAAGCAAAACAATTTGACGCCAACAACCGCAAAACGTGCTGGCCACACACCATCCATCCCAAAATCGAGAAGCCAGCTCCACAGCTTCCCAGGTCCCAGCTCCCAGGACCCGCCCACAACTTAACCCAAAAAATTGATGAATATGTAAGCAAATACAGAAGACTAACACGCATCGGGGGTCCTGCCAAATATACGTATATAAAAAAGGATCAAAGTCCTGAGGCGCGTTAATTTTCCCAGACGTCAGCAGGAAAAGTTTGGGGCTGGCAGCAAAAACCCATCTATTGGCCTGCCCCGAATATGAGCCGGGCCCACAAATTATATTGAAATGTTAATAATCCAGTTGCTTAGACGTGCTGTGCCATCCTGGGCGGCAGCGATGTCCTGGGCGGCGGCTCGAAAAGGACAACTCAACTGTAAAAGGATATTTACATGGAGATTTGTATGCCGCTGACTTATGACTTTGATCAATGCCCGGCTGGCTGCCCAAGCCCAATCAATTGGGTCCATCCGCATCCGCATCCGTACATCCGCATCCTCATCTTCATCTTCGACAGTCCCGGCCGCATTTATGTGCTTTTGAGAGTCACTTATGCCCACAATTTGGCATTGCGGTTATCTGGGGGATAGACCAAAATATGTGTGGGCCCTGATATATTGCCGGCCATTTGTGACTTTGTTGTGAGACGAAGACCTAGCTCAGCAAATCTTTAAATTAAATTCTCTGGACTCAAATAAGGACGCATTATAAAGTATAATGTGCTTTTAATTTCATTCATTTGCATGAAATGTGCTTCGCAGCCAGTGGAAAGGCAGCAAGTGGACCCTGGCCGGCGCTAAATGGAACTAAAAAATCTAATTAGCTTTGGCCGCTGCAGAAGTCGACTTAAAGCAAACTTTTCGCTTTAATTTCATCTTGATTACCGCCCACACTACAAAGTGCAGGGCACGGCAAAAAAATACTTGAGCTAATTTGAAACTGATAGGAATTTAAGTTTCAGCAAAAACTTATTTCTTTTAATCAGTGGAAGAGTGAAAAGATTATTCGAGGGCCAATAGTTGTAGTTCCTAGTACAGCAAGCCTCGACCTCAAAAGCCAATCGACTTGACTGGCTAATGAAACGGCAGTCACTTTAAGGAGCTCCAACTCTCAACCCGGTGTCTCGTTGTCACCATTAGAGACGCCCGCCTGGCTGATGTTAATGCTGATTTTTAATGTTGATTACCGCAAGCTGCCAGGCCGCAATCCTTGCCACCTTTTATCCTTTTTTTCC